TTGAGGAGTGTAGCCCTGGAATGGGTATTTGATAAATACCTTAGATATTTTTTCCCAGGTTTATCGACATATAACCTTGTGTAAATTTAAAGTGTACAGTGTGATAGTTTGATACCTGTTGCAGAATAGTTAATGCCTTTGTCACCTCATGTGATTACCTCTGTGTGTATGTGTGTGTGTGGTGAGAACATTTAAAATCTACTCTCTTAACAACTTTCAAGTATATAATATGGTATTGCTAACTATAGTCACTATGCTATATGTTAGATTCCTAGAACTTATTATCTATAACTAGAAGTCTATACGCTTTGACCAACATCTCCCCATTTCCCCCATCTCCAGCCTCTGGCAACCACCATTGTACTTTCTGTTTCTATGAGTTTGGATTTTTTAGAGCCCATGTATAAGAAATCATACAGTATTTTTCTTTCTTTGTCTGACTTATTTTCCTAACATAGTGCTCTCATAACACTTGCCCACACTGTCACAAAAGGCAAGATTTCCTTCTTTTTTTATGGTGAGTAATATTCCAGTGTTTGTACCACATTTTCTTTATTCATTCTTCTGTCTATGGACACTTAGGTTGCTTCCTTGTCTTGACTATTGTCAATAATGTCCCAGTGAACATGTATGTGCAGATATCTCTTTAAGGTAGCAATTTCATTTTCTTTGGATATATACTCATCAGGTGATTTCTTGTGCTGCCAAAATGGCAACTGTCTGAAGACCTGAGTTTATATTTATTTTAAGGGAGAGTGGGAGTGATGAGAACTGAGATGCTGAAAGCTGACATTAGGGAGCTGTCAGGGGTCCAGGTGAGAAGCAATAAGGGCCTGAACTGGAGCAGTGGCAATGCTGTTGGAGAGCAGGGGACAGATCAAGAGCCACTTCTGAAATAGAAGTGTTGGTAGGATGTTGGAGACCCTTTGGGTATGGGTATTGGGAAGGAGTTGGAAGATGACTTGAAGGTACCATTCTGGGTGGCAGTGTAGACAGCAATACCAGGAACCAGAGTGGGGAACATAGGAAGAAAAAGAGGTGCAGATTTGGACGCCTGCATCTGGGAGATGTTGATAAAAAGGTGTTGCCAGAGGCAATGATGCATTCAGTTTCCTTATTTTACCAATGAGAAAACCCAACATACTTCCCAACATACTTCTTGTTTTGATGCCTGTCGAGAATATTCACTGCTTGGTTGTGCACGCTGAGAGCATCTATATAACATTAATTACCAAGTGAAAATATCATTAAATACACATTATGGTTGTGTTGCTTGTGTATATTTTTAACGGAGTCCCTGACACCAAATGGACCATTTCAGGCAATTGAGACAGAGGTACAAGTGTTGATTTAATGGTGCTATCATAGCTAGAAGGCATGTTTGCAGGAAGGGACTGTAGATATCAGTGAGAACAACTTCATTTCACAGATGAGAAAACTGGGTCTCAGGGAGAGAAATACATTTGTCTAAGCCTGCACTGGTGACCAGTGATTAAAATTAAGACCCGTGTCTTCTGACCCTTTGAGTTAGTGCCTTCAGTAGCGAGGTTATCCACATTGTTACTATGTAGAACCATTGTATTTTTTGTGATTCGGCTGATTGCTTTGTCATTTAATATCCCTCCAAGCTGGAAGCTGAATCATGAGCCACAAGCTGGCTATGGAGTGTGTGTTTAGAGACTAAGTGAAGCAGGGACCTATATGGTGAATTAGATCATTTTCAGTGCACGCATTCAGTATGACACTTCTTAGTTTCAAAGTTCCTCAAGGACAGAAAACTATTTATTTCAAGCACAAAACACAGAGCCTGGACTGTATTCACTATTCAGTAAATGTGTGTTGAATGAATGATCTAACTTCAAGAGAGATTATTCAACTATGGACTTTTTTTTTTAAGTAAATGACCTATGATAAATTTATCAGGTCTCCACTTTGCCCATATGTAGGCACTCACTAAAAGTCACATGGTTCTCATTCTTTTAATAAGAAACAGCAGAGAGGGCTATCAGCTGACAGGATAGGAAGGATAGAATGTGAGCGTTAGAAATGCCCTGGTCTGAATGTGACCTCTTGCTGGAACGCCAAGAAAACAAACTTTCCAAGTCTGCTGGCCCAGTGACCTCAATAAACAAAGGTCTTTTCTTTCTAGAAACATGCTTTTTTCTTCTTGTTTCTCATCTGACACACATACCCTCATACACACACACACACGCACACACACACTCTTTACCTTTGAATTCCTGTAATGCTTAACAATTCCTATGAAGGTGTTAAACTTATATAATTGCTTTTTCGCATAGTCTCAAAAATGACCCTTCACCATATATTCGAAATGTAAAATCTTTCCTCTTGAGGACTGCCTTACTCTGCTATGAAAACCTCTGGACAAGTAGATTATTGAATAACCCATGACTTTGTCCTTCATCTGATTAGCTCCCTGAAAGGGATCATAAGATATCCTTGCAAAGCCTAGAGGCCTTCAGAATCATGAATGATCACAGAGGGCTTTTTTTCTCATCTTCCTGAAGTGTTGTGGCTACCCTCACTGGCATCAAAAGAGATCACTGTTTGCATCAGAAACTTAAAAAAAAAAAAAAACAAAGGAAAAGAAATGTAAAACTCATTTGGGAAGAAAGAAAGTTTAGAGTTGTATGTCATGTGATATATATAATACATCCTTCTTTCATTGACTGGATGACTGTGAACATTAAAGAAAAATTGTTTGTGTAGTATACCACATGTAAGAAATGTTTTAGGATCATCACTTGCTGGCCCTGACAAAATATTTTTTCAACGATACATGCTTGAGCACACAGGCTTACATAGGATGACAGGAACCTTTGACTATACATTTTTACAGAACAGTTATGGCTTATGGATGGATCATTTTCTCTTACAATCCACAACGCTAATGCCAATATGAACATAACAACTTACAAAAGCGTTTGGTAACTTGAATTAAAACTCATCATCATAAAATCTTGAGCTCAAAGTTAAGTCTAAGTGCTCTTAGAGGTTTGTTGACCTGTATGTTCTCAGATACATGCCTGTTTCAGCATTTCATTCTAAGTTGGTTTATTGAATACATATCTAACTTTGTTTTAATTTAGTTAACTTTATAAGATTCTGAACACAAATTCCCAATTTAGAATAAAAGATCTTTGTCTGGTCATACACTTCTGGAGTTTTTTGGTTCAGAAAATATAAACCCAGTCTTCATTATCCCTTGTCTTCAGCAACTACCAGTGGACAGAGTGACAAGCGATAGGATTTTATTCATTTTTGTTAATCAGCTGAAATACCTGTAATTTTTTGTTGTAAAGTCTGGTCTGAAACTACGATTTCACTACCTATATCATATTGTCTTTCATAATTTTTAACATACTGGAGGAAGGAGAGAAAACTCAAATACCAGGTAGTTCTAAAGTACTATGCTGGTTGCTTTGCATATGTTAATTCATTTCATTCTCATGACAACATTTGAGGTACCTCTATTATTGCCATTTTGCAAGTGAAGAAGGCTAAGCTTAGAGTGTTTAAGAAACTTGCCATTATGCACTTAAAACTTAAGATTCAGAGCAGAGCTGATTTTAGTGAATTTGTCTAAGTAAGACCAAACTTTCTTTTTCTTTCTTTCTTTCTTTCTTTCTTTCTTTCTTTCTTTCTTTCTTTCTTTCTTTATTTTTATTACTTACTTATTTACTTATTTCTTTCCTTCATCCTTCCCCCCTTTCTCCTCTTTCTGTATCAGAGAACTTTCTTTATTCAGTAGATTGTAGACTACTTAAGGGTAGAGGTCAGCTAGTTTACTGGTGAATTCTTGGCATGTTGCCCAGAGACTGGCATTGGCATGTAAATATCCGTTATCTATTTAAGTAAGTTGGACTGGACACTCCTGGCACATAAACCTGGAGAGGAGCTAGTATAACTATGGTTTAGTAGTTGAGAATATTCAGTGTTGATAAAGGACTCTGGATTCAAAAAGCTCTGATTTGAATTTCTACTTCCAAAGCTTATTAATCTATATAATTTGAACAAGTTACTTAGCCTCGTTAAATCTCAGTTTTCTTATTTTAAAAATAGCGATAATAATTATACCTTCATGATCACTTACATAAATCACATTTCTAATGGTTAGTAAACATACAATAAATGTAGCTATGATGATTACCTGTAATTGGAGTTGAATATGGAGTCCTTTTTTTTTAACATACTACATAATTTAGTTATTTACTGTGTTTATAATTTATAATCTATTATCCCACTAAAATGTAGGCTCCATAACATGACAGCAGAGATTTTCATGTTCTAATCGTTGTATCACAGTTATTAAGAACAGTGCTGTCCCATAGAACAAGGGACCCAGTACCAGTCTGTGACCTGTTGTCAGGAACCGGGCCACACGGCAGGAGGTGAGCAGCAGGCAAGTGAGCGAAGTGTCCACTGTATTTACAGCCGCTCCCCAGCCCTAGCATCACTGTCTCAGCTCCACCTCAGATCATCGGGCATTAGATTCTCATAGGAGCACTGGTCCTTGGTGCCAAAAATATTGGAGGCCCCTGCCATAGAATGCTCTGTGATAATGGAAATGTTCTATATTGAAATTGTACAATACTGTAGCTACTAGCCATATGTGGTTATTGAACACTTGAAATGTGACCAGCTAGTGTGACTGAGAAACTGAATTTTAAATTTTAATTAGTTTTATATGTTATATACATTGCCATATGTGGCTAGTGGAATACTGTATCAGCACAGTTCTAGAACATTACATGGAATACAAAAGTTTCAATAAATACTTGTTAAATGAATGAATCCCCTTTGGACTCAAAGATCGAGAACAAAGCTGCATGATTGCATATTTAGCTCATTCTTTAAAAAGAAGCAAGGAAGCACTTTATTCAGTGATCAGCTCATGCTGGAGGCTTCATAAGGTTACACTATGTGATTTGGTTTACAATCATAATAAGTTTTTGATTTCTATTTCTTTTTGGTGATAGGTCAAGAAAGATTTGGAAACATGACAAGGGTCTACTACCGCGAAGCCATGGGTGCATTTATTGTCTTTGATGTCACCAGGCCAGCTACATTTGAAGCAGTGACAAAGTGGAAAAATGATTTGGACTCAAAGTTAAGTCTCCCTAATGGCAAACCAGTTTCAGTGGTTTTGTTGGCCAACAAATGTGACCAGGGGAAGGATATGCTCATGAACAATGGCCTCAAGATGGACCAGTTCTGCAAGGAGCACGGTTTTGTAGGATGGTTTGAAACATCAGCAAAGGTAATGTGACCTTACTGTAAACTTACTGTAGGCAAGACTCACAAGGAAAATGGCATGTAATCATCCTCATAATTATAATGATAATAATCAATGTTTGTTTAGTGATTTATAGTTCCCAAACTACTTTAAGTTCTTTCTCATTTCAGGAGGATGAGTGTGTGGGCAGGTTATCCACAATTTAAGATGATTGTGGCTAAGGGAGCAAAGTAACTACTACATGATCACATTGATAATGGTTAATAACTATGTTCGTTTATTGAGTGCTTATTATGTGTCAGGCACGTTTTACATGCATTTTTTCATTTAGTCCTCACAACAACCCTATTAGGTAAGTATGATTTTAGAATTAATTTACATCAACATATAATATGCTGTCCTTTAACGGGAATTGTGCTTTGCCCTAGAAATAAAAAGGTGGCAAGAACACAGACTACCATGCTGGGAATTCTAGATAGTATGGTGAGAGAGGAGATGGCAGATAGAAATGTGAAGAACTTGGTGTGGCTTGTCACCGCTCACTCTTCCAGGGGATAGAGGAGTGGTAGGAAGTGAGGACAGAGTCAGAGCAGGTAGATGAAGAGTCCAAGGTGGTATCATGAGGGTGCTGTACTTCCCCTTATGCCCCACGCTGCTGTCTGATTTGTCAGGTGCACGGTTTTTCTTCTATTCCCTTTGTTTTGTTTTTGTTTGTATTGTTGAATCTCAGTATAGAGAAGAAAAAACTTTCATGGTAAATTTTGAAAGTTAAAATAGAATGCAAAAATAAAATAAAAATAAATGTTTTTCATATAAATATGTTTTACATTATTAGGATTGCATTCTGCATAGTTTATATCTTTATTTATTTGTGAAACATGTATTAAATGCTGTGGTGCCTAGAAACTGTGTCAGTTGTTCAAGGTTGAGCTATAAAGATAGGCATTACCTTTGTACTTATGGAATTCACATTTAGGGCTTATTGTGAATATTTCTATACGTCATTAGAGAATGGTTTGAAAATATAACTTTAGTGGAAATCATTCTAATGGGCTGGGGAGGAGCCTCTGGTTTTATGCTGAAGAGTAAAAATGATCAGATTTGTTCTAATGGGCTGGAGAGGAGCCTCTGGTTTTATGCTGAAGAGTAAAAATGGTCAGATTTGTTCTAATGGGCTGGAGAGGAAAGATAGGTGGGAGGCAGGTAAACCTGGAGACATAGTAACATTGCATTACTATGGGAAAATGACAAGGCTTTGAACTAAGGTAATGGCTTTTAGGATATGAAAGAAAAATCTGATTTGAGAATATTACTAAAGTATGAACACCAGCAGGATTAAGCAGCTGCTTGGATTGGATATGATGGAGAAGAAGGAGAAGATGGTGATGACACTTTTTCTGTCATAGTAGGAATTTTGTTTGTTTCTGCCATTTCATGGAGAGTCTCAGTACCTGCCTTGTCTCTGTGCATTCTCTAAGCTGGCCTTATGTTTCGAAGTCATTACTTCTTAATTCCTTGTCTTTCTTCTTCTTTTGATTTAGGACAGTATCATTTTCTACTTTCTGCTGTCACTGAACCTTTTTAGTTTGTCCGTTTGAAGAATTTATTGTTGTTAAGAGAGACGGTAGAGCAAAACTTACAGGTATGATTAAGTTATAAAACCTTAAGAAATATTACATTTTTAATGATCTGTTTCTTGAACGTTAGTCTAGCTTTTTAAAAAATTCCTAAATGTGGGTAAATTTACCTATTCTCCGATTCCTTAGCCCCACACTCGATTTTACTCTACAGCTCCTGCATATTCCTTCAGATTCCTTTCTTCTGAGTCATTCTCCAGCCTGGAAGCTTCTAGGGGCAAAGGTAAAAGAGTAGGATATTGGAGAACCACTTTTCTCAATTGATTACTTGAGCAAACTAGATTGAATGACTCATTTACATGGGGAGAGTACTCTTCCATTACTGATTCATTCAATAAATACTGTTGAACAACTGTAGTTACCAGGCACTAGGAGTAGAGATATTTATAAAACAGACAGAACCCTGACTTTGTGTATAACAATAACAAAACATAAGTAAAATATATAGGGTGTTGAATAGTGAATAAGCGCTAGCAAGAAAAGAAAGGAAGAAGCATATGAATATGTGGGGAGGGTTGAAATTGCTTGTGGGACAAAAGACCTTCTAGACCTCTTTCAGTTCACTCTGATTTTCCCTGGTCAACTGTTGCGGTGTCAGACTCTGCTTATGGGCATGATGTTCATTAACTTAAGGCCCGGCTGACCCACCATACTTACATACTGGATTTCTAATCCTGTAAATCCCTGCAAATGTAAACTTTGATGAGAAGCTTTGTACAGAGAGAGGGTGGAGGGAATTTCACAGGCCTAAAGTGCACTCAACTATTAATATCACCGGAGGGTACAAGGCCTCATAGTAAAAGGCAGAACCCACATTCAATGTCTCTCTTCTCTGCAAATATACTGCTATCGAAATGCCCTTCCGAATGTCTTAATAATGAAAATGGCTTCTTGGTGCCAGGTTAGCATTCAAAGTCAACACGTAAGAGCTCAGGAATAATACTGCAGCATTGACAAGCCAGAGTGTTAAACTGTTCCAAAAGTCTTTTTTAAAACATCTGATAAAGCTCTGCTTACTTTCCGAAGATAGTATTACCACACTTACAAAACAGAGGCCCAGATCAAACTGTCAGCCTGACGCTAAGATGGCAGCATTTGGAGACAGCTACTGATTCATTCTTTGATTACATTTGGGATCTGGGAACATTTCCCTTAGAGATCTTTCTCTTAGAAAGTGAACCTACTAACAATCAAGGCTGTCTTGAGTGACTTCATAATCAGTCCAGTGATAAACATCTTATTTTCTTTTTCTTTTCTTTTCTTTCTTTTTTTTTTTTTTTTTTTTTTTTTTTTTTGTCTTCTAAATTTCGAATGAGCCAAAGGCAGAAATTCTGTGGGTATCACCATCAGTGTGACCATCTCTGAAGCTGAAACTATCAGAGTAGGGTATTGGAGGTATTTGTCATTGAGACCAGCCTCTATCTTTCTGCTGACCCCACCACCCAGCCATATATACTCTCTTGTTCTTTAATATTCTGGTTAACTTTCCATGAGAGTTTTCATGATTACTGCTGTTACTGGAACAATCATGATAGCTTCTGGCTGTGAATTAAGATAGAAAAAATTAAATATATGCTGGCATTTCCAGTTTTTCATATCATCTCTTTAAATATTAAAACCAAAGGAAATAAAATAAATACAGTCTCTCCTAAGTCACTGTGGTTTTTAAAATACTGTGGTTTTTAACCACTGTATTCATTACTGTTCTCAGCTGTGTTTACTTGAATTCTACCTGTGGATTCACTAGAGCCAGGTGGTATTTAATTGAGATGATCATATGTTCCATTTTCCTAGAACATTCCTGGCTTATGCCTGCTACCCTGGCATAATTATTAAGAAGACTCTTATTCCTGGTTTGTAATTTAAATTTATATGGTTACCCTACAGATCAGGAGTCCCAATACATCACACTGTCTACATCACACCTGAGCTTGACTAATGACTATTTGGTGTATTCCTGTGCCCAACCCAGTCTTTATAATATGCTTTGGTATATTTATCCCTAGAATGAAGGCCTTGGCCTGATCCTGTTAGTGCATCCCCAAAGTTGGGAGTCCTGTCTTCTGGGCCCATCTGTGTGGCTGATGGGGCCCTGCTACCTGCTGACCTATTTACCTGTCTCATTCTTGGTGCCTATTGCTTGAATCTCAACTAGTTGTTCCTTTTAGATTCACTCTCTGACTATAGCCACCCACTTTTTAGGGTTGCTGTGAGCAAAAAGTGACATATGTATATGGGGTCCCTGGATGTGCTACGTCTGATCACATATACACACACACAGAAACAGATCGTCAACTTGTCATCGTCGTTGTTGTTGTCGTCATCATCATCATCATCTTCATCATCATTATCACCATCATCATCCCTATTATCTATTCCCATAGCCCATCTGCTGGTCTGGGTGTCACCATTTATACTTGGCTCTGATGCACACAAAAGCTATTTTCTATTTCTCAGCCCTTTCCATCCTGCTCTAATGGTGCAATGATTCATGTGTGGCTATGTTCAGAAACAGGACACCAGGAAAACATCAGTGTAGATGAGAAATAATGGAGCAAGTATTATCTATCTACTAGTGGTGATAGGAACCAAAGTCACAGAAAGAACTGCAGTGCCCTTTCTCCTGCTCTCTCCACCTCACACCCTACTACTGGCAGATTTCCTTGACTGTGTCTGTCCCACTTAAAGTGACTTTTTAGGCCCGTCCTCTTCTCAGAATGTTCCAAGATCAATGGGCGTCCTAGGAAGAAGCTTTCTTACATTAACTTCACTCAGTTTCAGTCTCTTCTATGAAACTAAAAAGAAAAATGATGTGTGTCCCACAGAGAGAAGGAATATACCCAATAGTGTTCTGTATAGGAAGTCATTAGCTTTTTAGGGAGAGGAGTAGGTGTTTCACAGTGTAATGGATATGTGTCTTGTGTTTTAGCTTTCCAGCAACTATTAAATGCATTTGCTATCTTTAGGGAACTTCTAGCCATGGGAGGCTCACCTTCCCAGGAAGAACCCATAAAACTTTCTTCTTTTTTGCTTCTTTTGTACCTAGGACGCAGGCACATAGTCCAGATTTCACCAATCATACCGATTCAGAAGTGAGCAGCTAGAGAAAGAAGGTGCAATGAAGAATCTATTTTTTCTGGGAGGGTGGTGGCTGAAAACAGGCCTCCATCCTCGATAGACAACAGTTTACAGGGTCCTGTGTTTGACACAGAAACAGAATCTGCTAGCCCCAGAGATCCCCAGAGACTCTCAGGTTATAGAATCTACTCATGTTCATTGATGGCTGCAGCAGTGTTCTCATGAGGCCTGTTCCATATAGGGTTTGAATTTCTGGACACTTAGACTTGAGCCTGTTTCTCAAGATTATGGAATAATTCTGCAAGCTGC